TGTTTATCATGTTAGTTGTCTTGTAATTAAGTATTGTTCATGAAGATTCTTGTTTATCATGTTAGTTGTCTTGTAATTAAGTATTGTTCAAGATGCTTGTTTTTATGTTAGTTGTCTTTTAATTAAACATTGTTTAAAAAGATGATTGTTTTACATGTCTTGTAATTAAGTATTGTTTAAGAAGATGGTTGTTTTACATGTTGTCTTGTAATTAAGTATTGTTTAAAAAGATGATTGTTTTACATGTTGTCTTGTAATTAAGCATTGTTTAAGATGTTTGTTTTTATGTTAGTTGTCTTTTAATTAAACATTGTTTAAAAAGATGTTGTTTTTATGTTAGTTGTCTTTTAATTAAACATTGTTTAAAAAGATGATTGTTTTACATGTTGTCTTGTAATTAAGCATTGTTCAAGATGCTTGTTTTTATGTAAGTTGTCTTTTAATTAAACATTGGTTAAAAGATGGTTGTTTTACATGTTGTCTTGTAATTAAGTATTGTTTAAGAAGATGGTTGTTTTACATGTTGTCTTGTAATAAAGTATTGTTTAAAAAGATGGTTGTTTTACATGCTGTCTTGTAATTAAGTATTGTTTTAGAAGATGGTTGTTTTACATGTTGTCTTGTAATTAAGCATTGTTTAAGAAGATGATTATTTTACATTTTGTCTTGTAATTAAGTATTGTTCGAGATGTTTGATTTTCTTGTTACTTATCTAACAATAAGCATTGTACAAGTTGATGCTTGTTTTTCATGCTGATTTATTACTATTGTACAGTAAAGTTAAATTATTGTTTTTCATGTTACTTCTTTATATTAAACATTGTACAAATTGATGTATTCTCTAAATTCATTAATATTCTAAATTTAATTCAATCTTTCAATGTGACCCAAGACCCAACATGCTACTGTCTAAACAGGCAGTAACTTTTAGAGTAATTTTTTAAATTGATAGCAGTACTTGTAGAAGTTTGACTACATAATGATAAATCAGTCACAAAGTACAAGTGTATTGCTGATTTTATCAACTAATTTTGGCATTTAGCCATGTTCTCTCACACAAATTTCCAGATGTAGATAAAAGGTTTGTTTGTAGGCCAAGATAAACAATAGAAATGTTTTTGTCACTAAAGATTTTGAAATAATTTAGCAGGTATAATGTTTCTTCTGTAAACAAATTTTAAACAGAATTAGATTTTCTTTCTCTTTTGACATTTGATTTATAAATGCTTCCATTTTAATGACTAAAATAAGTTATTAGCAAATCACAATTGAGCTGAGGGAGAATTTTTGTTGAAAGATTATGGAAATTGAATTTCATTTTTAACTTCTTGTCTCCTTAGTAAACATTTTTCTTTTATTGGTTAAAAAGGAAGACCTGCTTAAACAGTATTACAGCTACATCAATAGCATTTAACTCTGATTCTGTTAGTTACTAACAAAATAATGCTAATTTGAACTTATTATTGTATCATATTTAAACACCCAATGTCTCAGTAAGCTTTTCAAATTACTTTATAGCTTTTATTTTTTTGTTGTAAAAAACAAATCTGTTTACCTCATAAGTACCAAGTGAAAAGTAAGCTATTTTTAATGTATGGAAACTCAGCTGCATAATTTGAGAGGATAAGGAGTCTCTGACTTGAATGTTTAATCTATGATGTCTTTCATGTAATTCATTAACTAAAATATATATGCACAAGGTACAACACAGTATTTTTATATTATTTCACTGTATTTATAGGAAATTGTAGGACTTTTATGTATTCCTTTCAGCACTAAGGTTAAGAAAACGTTCACAGTCTTAAAAGTTTCATATTTTCTGTAAATAATTTCAATAGAAATTTGTTATTTTTCCCTCTACCGTATTTTTCATAAGAAAGCAATCTTTACTGTTATTTGACATTATGAAAAGTTGTTCTTTTAGACAGGTTATTTTGTTGGACTTTAAATGTCCTAAAATGTCATTAAACATATATAATCTTCCAGAGTCCGGCTCATCGATCTGGACGAATAGAAGAGGGAGATGAGATTGTACAAGTAAACTACCAGACAGTTGTAAGTATTATTTCTACATTTTTCATTCGATATTTTTAAGTAACATTTGTAATGTTTAAGAAATGGAACATGAATTTAGTGATGGTAAACCTTATTGTTTTTAAAAGATGCATAAATTTGTGAATCATTGAACGCTCATAACGGATAACCATCCATTTTCAGAAAAAAATATAAAATGATTGGTTTTTACGTTCTTAGTCAGTCATAAGTTCACAAGTCATTCACTAAAATTACAATTTAAAGTGCTAATAACCACTTTCCTTTTTTGAACCATGAAGTTAGTATAATATAAAAGAATTAGAAAATATTTACAAATGATTACTATGGCATTCCAGCTAAACATTTTTTAAAGCTCTAGCCCAATAATAATAGTTTTAGTACTTAATATTTAACATACTACCTTTAAATAGTTTCTGTAATTGATACTAGGTTGGATGGCAGTTGAAAAGACTTGTAAATGCCATGCGGGAACATCCAACAGAAGCTCACCTGACTTTAAAGAAAAGACCAAGACATGTAAACAACTTTGGTCAGGTAAGTGTTGATTTTTAATCTATTCCATCATATTCAAATATCCACATTGCTACCTGTGTTTAAAATTTTTAATTCTAAATGTTCTTGGTACTATTACTCAAAGGTTTTGGGTCACTAAAAGTACTGTTTTATATTTCACATTGTGTTGAAAATTACAGCTTGAATATTGGTTTTATTCATAATGTTGTTTCAAAAATACAGCATATTTAACAATAATTCTATAAAAGAGGAGAAGTAAGTGAAATATTGCCATTTAATAAATAAAATTGAATAATAAATCCCCCAATCAATATTTCTTAAACCATTTGACAGACAGCCCATGTATAGTTTTGTACTGAGCTACAAACAAACAAACTTAAACCAGATTGAATAGTATACGAGTGTAAAATGCTTTTATTATCCTTTTCTTATTACATTCTTGATTCTGGAGACAAAATTTCAACTGAATCATCACCAAAACATTTCCATACTATGGTATTTCTACCATCATGCTTAATTAACACTTTATAAAAAATGTTTTGTGCATTTCCTGCTACACCTTTAAACATACAAAAGTTGATTGGACCAGAAAATTTCTAATTTCAATTCATTTGCCCATAACACTTTTTCCATTGCTCAGCAATCCAATTTGTATGTTCTCTGGCTCATTTCAATCATTCTAACTTGTTCTGAGTTCATAATAAACTGCAACTCGGCTATGCAAGCCTATTTGATGACGAGGGACGCACTTTGAGACTAATAATGGTTGGAGATGGCTTGAATGGATAATGAAGAAAAACTTTAATATAAGTTTAACATTACAACAAATGTACAACGTTTCGACAAGGTTTTGTCATCATCATCAGCAGCAACCAAACAAGCAGGAGTGGAGAAAAAGTAAAGTCAAGTGAATGAGAAGTTTAGTTAGAGAAAAGTTAGAAAACATGAAGTTAGCTATCATGGGAGTGAATAGCCTTAAGTTTGATATTTTAAAGGGTGTTCTAAACTGATTGAACCCACCTGAGTGGACTTTGATGGAAAGAAGACAATTATTGGAAGTTCAGGACACAACTGTGGTAACCCATGGGGCAACATAAGTCAATTATTCACCAATAATATTGTGATAAAAGTAGAGAAAAATAATTCAGCTTGTCAACTAGATTGTAAAGCAATTTAATTAACCTGTGTGGACTTTTAACAAGAAGACAAAAACTGTATAGTGTTTAAAGTGCAACTGTGATCTCCATAGTGTAAAGAATTTTTGTACAAACATTTATCTTGTTTTGAATATATTACTTTAAAACAAGTGAAGTGCGTGCTAATTAGATTTTTATTTAATACAAGTAATACATTTTTTAAACCACAGTTATTTATTATTGCAAAACAAAGATATTTTGCAACATGTTTTGACTGCATTAGTTTTCATTTGCCCATTAAACTCTGTTAGCATGACTCTATAATGCTTCTTCCCCTGTTTCTTCTCATATTCCTTCTTATGATCTGCATTTTTTATTAGTTGATGCTGAGTGTTATTGCACTTTTTGAAATTTATTCAAAGTAACTTATGTAAGCCACCATTTTGTGATTTGTAACAAAATTGTACATGCACTACTGTATATTGGCAATAAAACTGATGGAAGTTGCTGAAGATAAATATGGTACAGACAAAGGAGGAAGACAGAAATTTTCAAAAAAAATGTGCAAAAACAGGAGTTAATCCAGATATTTTTCACTTGTCCAATCAGAAAATTAGGTTAGAGAAATCCAATTGTCTGAATGAAAGTTTCATTTTTCCTGGGCAGTCACACAACTGTCAGTGTTAAGCCCTGATAAATAAAGAAACTGGTGGAAGGTTAGGGATAATATTCTTTATTATGGGCATTATTCCATATAATTACATCTTTTGGAGTCACTGTTATGGGCAACTTATGTGCACAGGGGAAAATAGTCAGACCAGAAGTCCCTAAGATTTAGGTTTGCCTCCTAGTGGCTCAGCAGTATGTCTGAAAGCTTATAGTTCTAAAAAGCCAGATTTTGAGATACAATACATGATGGGCATAGCACAGATAGCCCATTTTGTACTTTTGTATCAACAACAAACAAATCACTGTTACTTTGATAAGCTTCAGTTGCTGAGAAAAGGAGGAGCATTGAAAATGTTATTAAATTGTTGTATTATTTCAGTTGCTTTAAGCATTTTAAACCTCCTCTCAGCTAAATATTAATTCTGTATGTTGAATAGATTAAAAACTACCTGCTTATGTTGTTGAAAAAATACCTGAGTGTGAAGCATGGAGTTCATGTTGTATACCAATTTTTTTGTATTTGATGAAATAATTTAATTCTAACATACAATCATCCATACACATTATGTGTATTTATAGTGTGTATGACTTAAGTTTAATCATTATTATTGTACTTATATTTTAAATATGTAAAGATAAAATGATATATTTTGTAGTCTATATAAAAGCCGTGTGTGTAAAATGTAATAATGGCAGTACAACCCATCAGTTTTTTAAGTGAAAAGTAATTATGTTATTGGAATCATAGGAGGTAAGTTAGTGATCTAAAGCTATAAAACATAAGGAAAAAATCAATGAACAATTTTTGATATATTAGATATAAATATTTCAATTAATGATCAAAAGATCAGCACATTAGATATTTATTTGACAAGAGTTTATACATTCATATGTTTAGATTGTTGGGTCAGGACTATAAGTCTTTGTTCTGTTTAAAATACTTCTGACAACAAATGTTCTTAATTTGTTCTTTAGGTTATTGTGCTTCGACCGTACAGGATTCCTTCTAAGAAGTCTTTCTTTGGAAAGGTTCACAAATGGTCTGAAGGTAGCTCTCTACACATTCAGGCTTACCCAGAGCAGAATTCTCAACCTGTGATCACACGGTGAGCTATTTGTACTGTGATCGGTCTCTGAAATTTTATGTTTTATTCTTTTAGGGATACCAACCACTACAGTTTGGGAATACTGATTATGGTATTAATTTAAAAAACGTAGACTGTTTTGTTTTTGTTTTCATGATGTTTTTATTGATGAGTTTCAAAAAGTTTGATATTTCAATCTGGTTGTTTTGGTTTTTCATGATGTGTTTGTTGATAAGTTTCAAAAAAGCTTAATATTTCAGACTGTTTGTTTTGGTTTTGGCATAATGTTTGCAAGAGAAAGTTTCAAACATTTTGGATTTTGTTCCTTTATTAGTTCTTATCAATACCTGTTTTGCTCCTCAGTGGCTCAGCAGCAACTCTAAGGGTTTATGACACTAAAAATCAGGTTTTGTTACTCAGTGTGTATAAATAACACACAGCCCACTGTGTAGCTTTGCACCTAAAAACAAACAAATAAAAATGCCTGTTTTGTTTGGTGTTTATTAACCTTGTTCAGCCACTATAGAACATTGCTTATTCAATTCAAGAAATTGAGTACTTGTTTGGGATTGAATTAGGCCTTTAGTTGTTTTTCAGGTAATTAAATCAGGAATAGATAACATAATGTTTTGCTGTAAGCACTCAAGAAATTTGGTCTGAATGATTATCAGAACTAAATTTTTAGACCCCAAATTAGTAACAGTGATTAATGAAGAGTAATACGTGATACTGATGATAATGCCTTATTGTTCAGCCAGTTTGTGCTTTGTACTCCATTTCTTAAGAAGCACATTGATATATAATTATTTTCTAACATGTTTTATGAGTAAACTATAATAATAGATTTCTAAGCATACTGTTTGGTTTGATATCTAGGTATGATTAAAAGATTTGTTTGAAACAACTTTAAAAGATTAGTATTAAGATGTCCAACTTAACAGAATTAAACAACTTCCAGCTATCATGGTAAATAAAGTATCTTGTTTGAAATACATTAATCCTGTTACTTTTCAAATAAATGCAAGATTTTTTATGATTTAAAAGGTACTTTTCATTTTAATAGGTATCTACATTTTTCATTGATCAAATGAAATTACAAAAAAAAAGGTACAAATATTTCAGCTCTGACCCCAGCCAGCCTTGCTACAGTAGTACTGTTGGTATCATGAATGTGCATAAGTGGATAATTTGCATAGTATTCATATATTATGCATAATATAATCAATATCATTGAAGAATGTAAATAATGGAAGTCTATGAAATAATGTTGCATATTGTCTACTTAACATACATAATTCCTACTGAATAATGTGCACATTGACCGGTTGATTTGTGAGGCTTCATTATTCAACTGGAAATATGCACATCTTACAAACACTAGTTAATGTGCACAATGAGTGGTAAATATGCATATTTCCTAGATTTACACATTCACCTAAACTATAAAATAATTCAAACTTTCTGCCCCCAGTTAGTCATTATTGGGTAAATTTTTAATGTACTCAGTTATTTTATTGTTATGCACTACATACTTCTCTGGCATTTAACTATAACTATAAAAGTTCCTGCTTTTATATATACACACACACACACACACACATAATGTGTTCTTATTGGTTTGTTGAGAGAACTTTGTTTTTTTTTGTTTTTTGTTGTTTTTTTTTTGGTGCCAGTTAGGTTTTATCCATATCCAAGATTGTTGAGAGGTCTTAAGAGTCAGTACAGAGATATACCAAAAACATCTGACCAGTTAAGCCTTCAAATGCCAATTAGTGATGCATAAGTAGTGTTCTGTTTCTTCTGAGCTTTGAAATTTTATGTGTAAATGTAGCTTGCGCAGTCAGAAGTAATGAATAGATAATACCTTAATTCAATAAGTTTAACTCTGACATAAGATGATATATTGAAAAAAATCTTAAAAACATTTACAGTTACATTAAGTATTAAATGGAAAATTGACTATTACTGTGTTAGCTATAAATTTCACTCGTACATTCCATATGAATATGGTGCCTGTAATTAAAATACAAGATTTATGAATGAAGTTTAATGTTATCTGTTAACAAACATCATTTGTTTTGTTTTAATGTCACCTTTTTACTGTAATTATTCAGGAATAATTTCATCCACCCTTCTTTAGAACTGAACCTGATGATGAGGATGATTCAGCATTCCTTCCTGATGACACTGCTGTTGGACAAAATCAGGTTATGCATGCCGCTCTTCCAGTCCACTACAATGTATTTCCTGCAAAATCTCGTGCTACAGTCCAGAGACGAGCCACCGTTAGTGGAGCTTCTCCAACGATCACTCGTCCTCCTGTAAATATTGAAGAACTTGTAGCTAACGCACCTGTTCTGAAAAAGAAAAAAGACAGTATTACTCGTAGCATTTCTCATGATCCGGCTAATTTGACTGGCTCTGCAGAAGGAAATGGTAAGGCAGTCTCACCACGCCTTGGACCAATCACATCAACTGATTCAGAGGAAAGCCTAGAGAAAGCAAAATATCAGGAAGTGGATTTCTTAAGAAAAGAGCCTGTGGTTACATCAGTGCAAAGGCCAGTAACTGTTGCAGCAATTCGAGGGTTAGAAAAAGTTGCTGAGAGTACTTCGGCAGAATGCAGGATTTCAGGGAGTGAGTTAGTTCTGCCTCTCCAAGAAGAGGATTACACTATTCTAGAAAATAAAAGTCTCCACACTGATAGTATGCAGGATTCTGGTATCTCTACGGCTACAAGTGAGATTTCAACATCAACATTTATGGGAAACAAAGAAGAAGACAGGGAAGCTAATGCTACAGGTATTTGGACAATTGCTTTCTTCACTATATTACACTATGAAGAAATCCTGTTTTTAAGTATAAATGTACAATTTGTAAGTCTAAACAACAAACCAAACTAATTAATCAAAAAGGAATGTGGCCACAGTAAAAAGGGTCTGTGTACCTTTAACATGAAATTTAACAAGAAGCTAAAATTACCTAGGGGAAAAAAATGAGCAAAACAACATTTGAAATTACCAACATTGAAAACAGTTGGTTAAGTTACCATAACAAACATTATAACTTAATATGCATTGTTTCTGTACACTTTAACTGCAACAAAAAAAACTGCTCCACACACGTAGAATGAACAAATAGGAACCAGTTAGTTAATTTAATAGACATTCTTTACCTCTTACGAGGTATAACAACCTCGTTAGATGTAACTTTTACCTAAGTAAATGTACTATTGTGGATATCTTTGTTGCTTTATTTTTTAATTTGATTTTTAGAAGAAAAAAAAGTCACAAATGTATATTTTATGTTCATCTAAACACATTGCTTATTTATTTTTACTTTGATTGAGTTTTTTGTATTCCACTTTTAAATCAAAGTTACACCAATACAGATTTCAATCTAATCTCTTACCAGAGGACATTTGAATAAATTCTGACATTGTTCCTATTGATGTGATATTGACAGTTTATTTTCTCCATATATTTATGTTTCATGATGATCTGTCACAGATATCTTTAAAGTGGTAACACTTGTTATCAAACAGAATGTCAATGAGGGATGCTCTTTCTACTTATCTCTATGGGGGCTTGTTTGTGTTTCCTTCATATTTCAGCTTTTCATTTT